GCTTTCACCATGTTGACCAGGATGGTCTCGATCTCTTGACCTCGTGATCCACCCGCCTCGGCCTCCCAAAGTGCTGGGATTACAGGCTTGAGCCACCGCGCCCGGCCTATATTTTTTAAAATAAATGCTTTATTTTAGAACAGTTTTAGGTTTACAGAAAAACTGCAAAGGTAATACAGAAAGTTTCCATATATGCCACATCCAGTTTCCCCTGTTAATAGCACCTTATATGAGCCTGGTACATTTCCTGCAATTAATGAACCAATACTGATATATTACCATTAGCTAAAGTCTATACTTTATTTATGTGTCTTTAGATTTTCCCTAATATCCTCTTTCTTTTTCCAAGATTCCATCTGGAATACCCCATTACATTTAGCTTTCATGTGTCCTTAGGTTCTTCTTGGCTGTAACAGTTCTCAGGTTTTCCTTGTTTCTGATGCCCTTGACTTTTTTGAGGAATACTGATCAGATATTTTGCAGAATGTCCCTCAGTTTGGGTTTGTCTGATGTTTTTCTCATGATTAGATTGGGATTATGTGCTTTTGTGAAGAATACCATAGAAGTAAAGTGCCATTCTCATTACATCTGATCAAGGGCACATACTGTAAACGACATTGATGTTGACCTTGATCATCTGGCTAAAGTAATGTATGTCGGGTTTCTGTAGTACCAAGTTACCCTTTTTGACCCCCTTTCCATATTGTACTCTTTGGAATAAAATGACTATGTTTAATCCACACTTAAGGAATGGGAGAGTTATGTTCTGCTTTCTTCAGAGCAGAATATCCACATAAATCAGAATTACTTAGCACAGGAAATTTGCCTATTCTCTATTTATTTATTTATTCAATAATGTACTCACATCATATATGCATGGATGTATATATGTTTATTTTATGTTTTGCGTTTCAATTCGATATTAAAGTACTGTATTTATTTCGTTGCTCAAATGTTCCAACTTCAGCCACTGGTAGTTCTTGCAGTTGGCTCCATGACCCTTTGACATATTCCCATTGTTTTGTGTGTGTGCATGTGTGTGAGCTTTTTTTTTTTCCCTGGAACTTCCTTACTTTTTGGCATACAAGATGCTCCATGCACACCTTCTACATTGTCTTCTCTCATCCTAGAATCAGCCAGTCATCCAAGCTGTGGTTCATTTAGTTGGAGAATAAATATTAGAAACCAAGATCCTGGTGCTAGGTATACCCATTGCTGCTGGGTTGTCATTTATTCTAGGCCCTCTCAGTTGGCAGAGCAAGGAAATATGTGTGTGTACGCTAACCCATATATAAAAATACATTTATCTGTACATATTTCTATATGTAACCATCAATATCTATATTAAGCTAATAGGAGTTGATATGATATCTCCAACTCTAATATGACCTCGTAGATGATTCCAGCCTGCTTTTGCTTATCTGTAACCTTTCACACCAACAGTGAGACACTTGTTTCTCACCATTGTCCATCCATTCACTTAATTGATCTATTCCTGTATGCATGTATAGCTGTGTCAGAATTGCTAACCTGTACTTCCACAGGAAGGAACTTTATCAGCTAGAGTAGAATGCTTATGTTATAGGTTCCTTTATAGCCTTCAGTCTTATAGACTCCATTTATTTCTAAAGTTGTTTAGGTCAGCACCAATTTTTCTTCACATTTTTCAGTGAGGTTGTTTTTAATACATCTGTGATACAGTTAGCTTCTTTTGTCATAATTTTGCATTTCATCCTTGAGTCCTCCAATCCCTTAAATGATTTGTTAAAGATTTGCATACATTAAAGTTCATTCTTCATGTTATAAAGTTCTATAGGTTTTGACAAATGCATAAAGTTATATAACCATGACTACAGTATTATATAGAATAGTTTAATTGTCCTAAATAACCCCCTATGCTTCCCTTATTCAACCCTCTCCCCCTTTCTCTAAGCTCTTGGGAACCACTAATGTTTCTATTATCTCTATAGTTTTGCCTTTTTCAGAATGTCATTGATTTTGAATCATATAATGTGTAGCCTTATCATACTGGCTTCTTCCACTTAGCAAGATGTACTTAAGATTCATCCATGTCTATTTTTGGCTTGATAGTTCATTTTCTTTTATTGCTGAATAATAGTCCATTGTATAGATGTATCACAGTTTGTCCATCACCTATTGAAGGACATCTTGGTTGCTTCCAGTTTTAGCAATTACAAATAAAACTGCTATAAACATTCACATGCAGGTTTTGTATGGATATAAGTTTTCAAGTCAATAACTTAGTTTTCAAATCAGTAAATGTATTTGATTACTAGATAGTATGGTAAGACTATGTTAAGCTTTGTAAGAAATTGCCCAACTGTCTTCCCAGGTGGCTGTACTGTTTTGCATTCTCACCAGCAATGAATGGGACTTTCTGTTTCTCCACATCTTTGTCAGAAATTGATGTTGTCAGTCTTTTTTTTTAATTTTAGTCATTTTGATTGATATGTAATGGTATTGCATTATTGGAATTTGCAATTCCCTAATCATAAATGATGTTGAACATCTTCTCACATGCTAATTTTTCATCTGTATATCTTCTCTGGTAAGGTATCTGTTCAGTTGACCATTTTAAAATTTGATCCCTTTCTTGTTGAGTTTTAAGAGTTTTTTGTACATTTCAGATACAAGCACTTTATCAGATATGTGTTTTGCAAATATTTTCTCCCAGTCTGTGGTTTGGCTTTTGGTTTTCTTAACAGTGTCATTCACAGAACATGTTTAATTTTAATAACGTCCAGCTTATCAATTTTTTCTTTCATAAATCATGCTTTAGGTCACATATCCAAAAGTTCATTATCAAACCATGGTCACATAGCTCTTCTCCTATGTCTTCTTCTAACACTTTTACAGTTTTGTGTATTGCATTTAGATGTATGATCCATGTTGAGTTAACTTTTGGGAAAGTGTAAGGTCTGTGTCTAGGTTCGTTTTCTTTGTACATATGGACTTTGAATTGTGCCAGCACCATTTGTAGAAAAGCTTATCCTTTTTCCACTGAATTGCCTTTGCTCTTTGTCAAAGGCCAATTGAATATATTTGGGTTTGTCTATTTCTGGGCCCTCTATTCTGTTCCATTGACCTATGTGCCTATCTGTTCACCAGTGTAATACTATCTCAATTACTGAAGCCTCATAGTAAGTCTTGAAGTCGGGTAGTGTGACTTCTCCAATTTTGTTCTCCTTATTTAGTATTATGATTGGAATTGTTACTTTTTTATTATACTTTAAGTGCTGGGATACATGTGCAGAATGTGCAGGTTTGTTACATACATATACACGTGCCATGGTGGTTTGCTGCATCCATTAATCCATCATCTACATTAGGTATTTCTCCTAATGCTATCCCTCCCAAAGCCTCCCATGCCCTGTCAGGCCCTGGTGTGTGATGTTCCCCTCCCTGTGTCTGTGGGTTCTCATTATTCAACAACCACTTATGAGTGAGAATATACAGTGTTTGTTTTTCTGTTCCTGTGTTAGTTTGCTGAGTATGATGGTTTCCAGCTTCATCCATGTCCCTGCAAAGGACATGAACTCATCTTTTTTATGGCTGCATAGTATTCCATGGTGTATATGTGTCACATTCTCTTTATCTAGTCTATCACTGATAGACATTTGGGTTGGTTCCAAGTCTTTGCTATTGTGAACAGTGCTGCAGTAAACATTCGTGTGCACATGTCTTTATAGAATTATTTATAATCCTTTAGGTATATAGCCAATAATGGATTGCTGGGTCAAATGGTATTTCTGATTCTAGATCCTTGAGGAAACACCACACTGTCTTCCACAATTGATGAACTCATTTATACTCCCACCAACAATGCAAAGCATTCCTATTTCTCTGCATCCTCTCCAGCATCTCGTTTCCTGATTATTTAGTGATCGCCATTGTAACTGGCATGAGATGGTATCTCACTGTGGTTCTGATTTACATTTCTCTAATGACCAGTAATGATGAACCTTTTTTCATGTTTGTTGGCCGCAAAAATGCCTTCTTTTGAGAAGTGTCTGGTCATATCCTTCGCCCACTTTTTGATTGGGTTATTTGTTTCTTTCTTGTAAATTTGTTTAAGTTCCTTATAGATTCTGAATATTAGCCCTTTGTCAGATGGATAGATTGCAAAAATGTTCTCCCATTCTGTAGGCTGCCTGTTCACTCTGATGATAGTTTCTTTTGCTGTGCAGAAGCTCTTTAGTTTAATTAGGTCCCATTTGTCAATTTTGGCTTTTGTTGCCACTGCTTTTGGTGCTTTAGTCATGAAGTTTTTGCCCATGCCTATGTCCTGAATGGTATTGCCTAGGGTTTCTTCTCGGGTTTTCATGCTTTTAGGTCTTATGTTTGAGTCTTTAATTCATCTTGAGTTAATTTCCATATAAGGTATAAGGGAAAGGGTCCAGTTTCCATTTTCTGCATATGGCTAGCCCATTTTCCCAACACCATTTGTTAAAGAGGAAATCCTTTTCCTATTGCTTATTTTTGTCAGGTTTGTCAAAGATTAGACGGTTTTGGATGTGCAGCATTATTTCTGAGGCCTCTGTTTTGTTCTGTTGGTCTATATCTCTGTTTTGGTACCAGAACCATGCTGTTTGGGTTACTGTAGCCTTGTACTATAGTTTGAAGTCAGGTAGTGTGATGCCTCCAGCTTTGTTTTGCTTAGAATTGTCTTGGCTATGTGGGCTCTTTTTTGGTTCCATATGAAATTTAAACTAGTTTTTTCTAATTCTGTAAACAAAGTCAATGGTAGTTTCATGGGGACAGTATTGAATCTATAAATTACTTTGGGCAGTAAGGCCATTTTCATGATATTGATTTTTCCTAACCATGAGCATGGAACTTTTTTCAATTTTTTTCTGTCCTCTTTTATTTCCTTGAGCAATGGTTTGTGGCTCTCCTTGAAGAGGTCCTTCATATCCCTTATAAGTTGAATTCCTAGGTATTTTATTCTCTTAGCAATTATGAACGGGAGTTTGCTCATGATTTGGTTCTCTGTTTGTCTATTGTTGGTGTATAGGAATGCTTGTGATTTTTGCACTTTAATTTTGTATCCTGAGACTTTGCTGAAGTTGCTTATCAGCTTAAGGAGATTTTGGGCTGAGATGATGGGGTTTTCTAAATATACAATCAAGTCATCTGCAAACAGAGACAATTTGACTTCCTCTCTTCCTATTTGAATACCCTATAAACTTTATAAATGCCTTCTGTGTTGATCTTGCTGGGAGCTGCAGACCAGAGCTGTTCCTATTCGGCCATCTTGCCCACGTCGCAGGCATTGCTATTTTTTTTTAAGTTTCCCAGATAATTCCAATTTGTGGCCAAGGGTAAGAATCACTGCCTTGGAGGCAGCTGGGAATAGAAACAAGAACATAGATTTCAAAGTCAAGCAGCCCTTCGTTCAAATTCATTGTCCATATTTCAAGCCATTTGAAATACGAGGGCTTCAGTTTCATGTTCAGAAAATGGAAGATTAAAAAGCTTACTTAGGGTGTTTTGTCAAAGCAACCCATTTTGGAAGAACTCAATATAAGGATGAGCCTGTTGCGGAAGAATTTCACCTGACAAGAAACCCAAATGGCACTCAGAGGGTTGGAGGAACACAATTTCCCTCCAGTGGGCCCAGAAGGGTTCATAACCAAAGGTTTGGACCCTGGCCTGGAACAGCACATAGCTTTTATAGGTTGGGGCAGGGGGAGTAACTAAAGGTTTTAGGCAATGTGGCAGTTTCTCCAGGGACTTCCTAGTTAGCAAGCAGGAAGCAAGCATACAGAAGCAGATAATGGCGGTTAGTCAGGCAATTAGGAGATTCTGTACAAACTTTCCACTTCAAGCCTGCAACAACTAACCAGTCAAGACAAGTTCTTCTTCCTCTACTTTGAGTGCCTTTTTGACTGTTTTCTTAGTGTACTCTGCTTTGACTAAATATTATGAAAGATTGGCATAGTTATTACTATGAAATATCTCTCCATAGATGCATGAACACACAAAATGAGTTACAATCCAGCATTTTGCTTCTCCTGGAAAATGTCTGCATAGATTAAAGAAATGACTGTTTGAGTTTTTTTTTGTTTGTTTGTTTGTTTTAGAAGGCAGTGATTCATGTTAGGCCCAGGGGGCTTAACTGGTCTATTTTTGTTAATGATTTGAGGAAGGAAATAATCTGACTGTATCAAAACATTAATAGGAAAATAAGATGCAAATAACACAAATAAATGATTTTTAAAAATAAGGATGAAGAAAGTATGTGCTTTTTAAAATAAGGCAAACGGCCAAATGTCCAGGAAGGACATATTTGAAGCAATGATAGATTGCCATGTCTATAGCTCTGTATTTTTTTGTTTCAACCATTATTTTAGCACACATTTACATAAAGGAAATTATTAGGTAAAAATACAGTTTAAAGACTTTTGTATAAATGTTGTCTTGCTTTCTAAAAACTCATCCTTTGTTCTATAGTGTAAAAAAAATACATCTACAAGCAAGCAAACAATAATAAAACAAAAAGTCAGAAAAGGCAAAAAGAGGACTAACATTTATCAAGTTAGTTGCTCCAGGTTTCAGGCTAGGAATTACATACGTTTAAGTTACTTAATCCTGTGACAAATTTAATACCATTCTCACTTCATGAAATCTCAGAAAAGGTAAATAACTTGCCATGAGGCTTACCTTTACCATGGCACGGCCAGGATGCTTCCCAACTGTGATACTTCCTTACGCTGGCTCTTCCAAATCCAGGCATTCCATTCCCGTTGCAGGACTCATTTTGCTCTAGCGCTCTGACTCATTTCTGAAAAGGAAAAAGTGTGGGGTCACAAAAATATCCTCAAAGTTTCTAGATATCTTATTTTTTCATTTTTATTTTTAATAGGGATTGCCTATTGAAATAATGCAATTTTGGACACTTAAAACTTTTAACTTTGGTTTTAACTTTGGTTAAAAGTACACTAATAAAATTCTCAGTGATTTCTTTTTGCTTTTTTATTTTTAAAGCTTTATTTTTAAAATTTTAGATTTAGGGGGTTACATGGGTATATTATGTGATGCTGAGATTTTGGTTTCTAGTGATCGCCCAAGTAGCGAACCTAGTACCCAATAGGTAGTATTTCAGCCTTTGTTCCTCTCCTTCCCCTACTGCACTTTTGGAATTCTCACTGGAGATTCTATACTTTTATAAACCAAATCTTAAAAATCTTAAATCCTGCTTATTTTCCTGTATGGATATCCCAAGAATTCTGGTTCTAATCTTAGCATTTATGAGAGGAAAGAAATCTGTCATTTCTTGCAGGACACAGGCAGGCACACTTTCACAATGATGCCCCAAGACAGTAAACTCCTGTTCCATCTCCCCAGGTGTCATTAGTGAATCCCAGAGGCCTCCATTCTGCTTTCAAATGATCTGCCAGCCCAGCAGCAATGGCCATAATGAGACTCAGCCACAGCATAAGATACACTGGCTTCTCACAGGAGAATGGGACCGGGCCTACCTGTGCCTCTCCCTCTGCCACAAGCATTAAGACCAGCCAAATTCCTCACAACAAAACTGAGGGCAAAACTCAAACGAAAATATAAGGAGGTCAGAACTGGTCACAGAAAGCATGGAAGAAGGCAGTTAAAAGTTGCCATTTTCCAGCTTCCCTTACGACAGGTACTTTTGTGCATAACCCCTCTTCATTTCCCTGAGGAGAGGTGACAGACACAGACCAACAGCATGGAAGACACAGGTTAAGAAAGGAACTGTTAGAGAACTCACAGCAGCTAGCAGGTGTGAAGCAATGCAGAAGAAATTAAAGATACTCTAAGAGAAAACCACCCTCTGTCATGTAAACTAAGAGGTAATGGGGAATTGGTGACGTAAATTTTATGACACTTTATTCACAGTAGTTCTGAATGGCATTCCCCTCATGCTCATGCTGGCAGTTCCAGGTGGAGTGATTTGAAAGTCCTTTGTCTAGGCTCTCATGGTCTATCTTGAAAGGCAGAAATTTAGCTCTGTCCACCTATTCAGAGTTACTCGTGTTCTCCAAAACTTTCACGCCAGATGACTTATAAGATCCTAAAACACATACTAGAATGCCCAGGTTTTTGTTTCTAATTTATAATGTCTTTAATTGAATAGAACAGAATTTTCTATTAGTCAAAATACTCACATCAGGATACTCTCCTAATAGCAGTTAGCTCTTACTGTGTAACAACCATGCAAAACTCAGAGACTTTGTTTTGTATTTCAATGGATGCAAATCAGAGACTTAAAACAAGTAATCATTTGTTTTTTTCCTCATGTATCTAAGATCAGCTAGAAAGTTCCGACAACCTGGGCCAGGCTCAGTTAATCTCTCCTGGGCTTTCTCAGGCCTTTATGGTTAGCCAGTGGTTGGATTACAGGCTGGCTGATCAAAGAAGGCCCCACACACATGTCTGGTGTTGTCTGGCCATCAACCCGAGTAACAGGAGTCAACAGGCCTCATTTCTCATCACTGAACAGGTTGGCCTGAGTGTGACCCCATGGGGTTATACAGGGTTCAGAGAGAAAGAGAGAAAAGAGAGGAAGAGCTAAGCTGTCAAGGCCTCTTGATGACTAGGCTTAGAACGGACACATTATTGTTAGTTTCTCCATCTTGGAAAGGGGCTGGGTAAAGTGAGGATGAGACCTACTGGGCTGCATTCCCAGGTTAGGCATCCTTAGTCAAAGGATGCTATAGAAAGTTGGCAGGACTTGTACCACAAGATGCAGGTCATAAAGGCCTTGCTGATGAAACAGGATGTGGTCAGATGCCACAAAAACTCACCAAAACCAAGATGGGGATGAAAGTAACCTCTGGTCGTTGTCACTGCTCATTATACTTTAATTATAATGTGTTGGCACGCTGAAAGACACTCCCATTAGCGCCATCACAGTTTACAAATGCCCTGACAATGTCTGAGTTACCCTATATAGTCTAAAAGGGAAAGGAACCTTTAGTTCCAGCAATTGCCTGCCCCTTTCTTGGAAAACTCATGAATAATCCACTCCTTGTTTAGCATATAATCAAGAAATAACCATAAATTTACTCAGTCAAGCAGCCTATGCCACTGCTCTGCCTATGGAGTAGCCATTCTTTTCTTTCTTAATAAACTTGCTTTCATTTTACGGACTCACCTCAAATTCTTTCTTGCACAAAATCCAAGAACCCTCTTTTGGAGTCTGGATTGGGACCCCTTTCTGGTAACACCATCACTTCCCCCACATTCTATTGGCCAAAACCAATTACAAGGGTAGCCTAGGTTCAAGGGGGTGAAGAAATAGTTTCTACCCTTTGAGGGGATGAGTTGCAAAGTCATATTGCATGTGGGCCTGGATACCGGGAGGGAAATGGTTATAGCTATTTAGGCATCAATCTACCACATGGAACTGAATTAACAAGCAGAGATTGCTTGATGAATACAAAATCAAATACAACTGAATGATGCTCAGGGATTATATCAACCAAGTGTCAAATTAACTTAATGAGCTACCCTTGCTCCAAAACTGGAATGTACTAGAATACCAGACACACACACACACGTGCGCATGCACGCACGCACGCACACACACACACACTCTCTCTACACACACACACACACACACACACACACACACACACACACACACACCCACACACACCCCCTACACGTCCATTTGGAGATAATCTCTCAGGGTGGATTCCTTCTGCAGATGTCTGCCCCTAAACTCTTCTGTTATGCATTGCTTTTTACTGGTTTTACTCTTAGGGTAATACCTGTTCCCACATAGTAGATTTACTTTCTGTGATCTCTATATCAATGACTATATTTGTTTTTTAGTCAGTTATGGCTACTGAAATTGTTTCAGGAAGAGAGGAGGAAGACATTCTCTCCTTACCTACCACCTGTCTCCTCAGGAGTATAATGACAGTGGCACTCTTGGAATCTGGAAAAAGAATCCTTCTTTTTTCTTTCATTCATTATGACTATGATCAGGAATTCCTGGCCCGATCAAATGGAAGAGCCCAACCTCTGAGACTGCACACCTAGGAATGTTTCCTAAACTAATTTGAAAACGAAACCTGGTTATTTTGTGGAAATTCGAGGACCCCAAACTCTGTTAGAATAAATTAACATTTTGGTTTTCCATATTGCTTTAGAATGACTCATGCTGTAGAAATTAGTTTTCTAGGTCGCTATTTCATTACACAGTGCCCTCCTTATAAGAGCCCAAGGGAAAAATTTCACTCTGATCTCAGAATGGGAAATGCGTGCTGCTTTCTAGTACTTAGAATGGTTTTGTGGTGGCTCTTATTAAAGATAACAAGGATCATGGACATAAGGGCATTTCCTTCTTTGCATTTCCTGCTGGACAACTTAGCACCAAACCTGAGACCCATTTCTAGCTGATTGACAGGTCTTTTTGGTGTGAATTTTAGATGTTAACCTTGCACTGGCTTTGCCTTATCTTTCTTATTTCTGTATACACTCAGTTCTGCTTCTTCATTCAAATAATTTTATATTTATATTGTTCTACTTAAGATATTTATTAGGCAGCCTTAAGTGTCTTTGGAACCTCAAAGAAAATAAATATATTAATTAAATATATAAATACCAGTATCACAAGAGAAGCCAGAGTTTAGTTTTTTGAATTTTTTAAAAAAATTATCTGCTGTCATCTATTTTGGTGGAACCCTTACTTTTGGAATTCAGATACTGAAGCTGAGTTAATCTAACCCTTCTCAATGGTTTATTATAATCTTTAGTCCAACAAGATCTCTATCATTTTATTTTTCCTTTATCCCACTCTGATTCCTGTTGCCCCAAGGCAATTATTCCAACAATGTCCTTTTGTTAGTAAGTGCTCTTATAAGTCATATGGTTTTATATATGCATGGGCCTTAACTATATGCAAATGTCATTGTTATCTACCTCAACCTGTTTCTTTTTTCATCCAGCTTTCTGCTGAATAGTGTGAATTGAATGCATTTTATCTCTCTACTCCTCAAACTGTCTCCAGTTGCCCACCACCAAGAATATCTTGTGATGATCAGCCTTACACACAGGGAGGACACTTTTGAGAATGGAAGGGTGATATAATAATTACACTATGACAGCAGTTGTACACTATGACGGTCCCAGGCAAGTTAGGTGCCTCATCACCTTATTCCTATAGGACCCTTGGAAACTTTGGGATAATTTTTTTGTGATATGGTTTGGATGTGTCCCCACCAAAATCTCATCTTGTAGTTTCCATAATCCCCATATATCATGGAGGGACCTGGTAGGAGGTAATTGAATCATGAGGGCAGGTTTTCCCATGCTCTCATGATAATGAATAAGGTTTTTCCATATTCTCGTGATAGTGAGTAAGTCTCACAAGATCTGATAGTTTCATAAAGGGCAGTTCCCCTACACATGCTCTCCTGCCTGCCACCAAGTAAGATGTGCCTTTGCTCCTCTTTCACCTCCTGCCATGATTGTGAGGCCTCCCAGCCATGTGGAACTGTGAGTCCATTAAACTTCTCTTCTTTATAAATTATCCAGTCTGGGGTATATCTTTATTAGCAACATGAGAACAGACCAATATACTTTGTGATATACATATTCAGGAATGGATTTGGCTTGCCAGGTCAGAAAATATATATAGGTCCAATCTGCCCTTACCACTAGAGTCCTCTGCAGAATTTCTACACCAGTCTACAATCCCAGCAGCAGTGTGTAAGCATTACCATGGTCCCTGGTAACACATGGCATTATCCAGCTTCCTACCACCACATCCCTGCTAACACATGGCA